TTTATTTATTTATGGAGTCCTGGTGTGGTGCTTTGGGCTAATGTGCCTGACTGCAAAACCGTATGAACTGCAAAGTCAGTGATTCAAGCTCACCAGCTGCTCCTCAGAAACCCTATACAGGTTCACTATGGGTTGGAACTGACTCGACGGCACTTCACAGCAACAACATATATATGTATATTCTTTGACCTAGTTAAAAGTTGTTCTTAAGTGCTGTCGAGTCAGTTCCAACCTATAGCAATCCTGTATAGGTTTTCCGAGGAGTGACTGCTGAGTTTGAACTGCTGATCTTGAGGTTCAAACTGGCTTTGCAGTCTGGTGCATTAACCCACAGCACCACACTTGTTAAAAGTAATACTGTATGTATCCAAGTAACCTAATTAAGGTAGAAATCAAATAGTCTTAGTAATATATAATTCAAATTTCTGGGCTTCAACATAATTACCATGTCTTCTGAAAGAAAAATTCATCATCTCCTCATAAATTCTCAAACTGTTTAAACCATTCATTAATTCTTGTTGTTGCATTTAAATTCTGATTTTAGTGGCTTCCAGTGGAATCCTGGTGTGGTGCTGAAGGCAGTCTTTGGTTTACTTACCAAAAGGCTGGTAGTTCAAACCTACCAGTGGCTCCTCAGAGACTCTATACAGGGTTGCCATGAGTTGGAACTGACCAGATAGCACTTAACAACAATGAATGAATAGAAGAATATTTTTCTCCTGAGGCAATTAGTTTGTATCCTCTACATGTCCTAAGTATTTGTAAAGTTTCCTAGAGACATATGGTTTCCTTGATACACCACAGTTATGCAAAATGAAGCAACCCATAGATGTGACAGTCTACAAATCTTTTTATTGGCAATACTTACATTGCCAAAATCGAGAAAATTACAGCTCAAAAACAAGAGAAAGCTATTTACACCATGGAGTCAAGAGACTGGTGAAGTTTCATGTATTTACTCTATCAAATTGTGCACAATCATGTGACTGAAATAAATACTGCATTAAAGGGTGAATAATAAAAATGAAAATAATAATAATCTTAGGGTAATGGTTAGACTTTTTAAAACTACATATAAATTTTTTTTAAATCTGCCAAGATAGGTAACAGCAGCAATAGATCAGCATAATCTAAAATTGGTTAAATGAATCTTTAGAGTTTCGGGATTTAAGTGGAGAACTGTAATTAATTGAAGGAATCCTGTTGCTTGGTTGCTAACTGGAAGGTTGGTGGTTCAAACCCACTCAGTAACTACAAGGTAGAAAGAACTGGCACTCTGCTTCTGCAAAGATCACAGCCAAGAAAAGCCTATAGGGCAGTTCTCCTCCATCACATACGGTCACCAAGACTCAGAATTGATTGACAGCACTTAGCAACAGTCTAGTCCATGTATGAGGGTAAGTCAGACAGTATTGCCACAAAATCATAGAA